CAGGCTGGAGTGCAGTGGCATGATCTCAGCTCACTGCAACCTCTGCCTCCCGGGTTCAAGCAATTCTCCTGCCTCAGCCTCCCAAGTAGCCAGGATTATAGGCGCCTGCCACCACACCCAGCTAATTTTTGTATTTTTAGTAGATATGGGGTTTCACCATGTTGACCAGGACCTGACCTCAGATGAGCTGTCTGCCTCGGCCTCCCAAAATGCTGGGATTACAGACATGAGCCACTGTGTCCAGCCAGGTATTTCCTAATAGCAATGTAAGAATGGACTAATACACATATCAAAGAGCAAAAAAAAAAAAAATTAAAAAATTAAAAAATTGAACTGCTGTCACATACAACCCTGTCACACCTGCAATCCCAGCACTTTGGGAGGCTGAGGTGGGAGGACTGCATGAGCCTAGGAGTTTGAGACCAGCCTTGGCAACGTGGTGAAATCACTCTCTACAAAAATTTTAAAATTAGCCAGATGTGGTGGCAGGCACCTGTAGTCCCAGCTACTGGGAAAGCTAAGTGGGAGGACTGCTTGAACCCAGGAGGTCAAGGCTACAGTGAGCTATGATTAAGCCACTGCACTCCAGCCTGGGTAACAGGGCAAGACCCTGTCTCAAAAACTAACTAACTAACTAAACTAGCTAAATAAATAAAAAGTGCATCTAAAAACATTCAATTTGAAACATTCATTTGAAAACATATTTTTAAAGGGTTGAAGTTGGTTAGAAAGAGCTGTGGATTGGAAACTTAAGGGGGCAGCTGGTAGACACCACACACCTGGCTCAGGCTCGCATATTGCTGGTTACCTGCTCAGCACCCATCCGCCTTCCTCCTTTCCGAAGGACTCCTGTTCTGAAGGACTCCTGGTCAACTCACTCTCAGCTCCAGGTCTAAGGGTAACCAGACTCCTTGCCACTCATTGGTTTAGGAATGAGCATGAGACATAATTCATAACAAGGCAAAGGAAAAAAAAAAACATCTGCTGGGCTTTCTGACAACATTCTCATCAGTTCTTCTGGAAGCAATAGTCTCTATTACTCCCAGATGTCCAGCAGGGTGTGTGTCCCAGAGCCATTCAACCCAGAGTGACACAGAAACAGGCCAGGAGAGGGGGACTGAGTTGCTCCCAAGGTCCTGCCACAGGACCTCCAATTCCATGCACAAGGGCAGCTCAGCTTCTGTCACTTGCAGCCAAGACATCCTAACTAGTGGTGGCTCAATGGTGCCATCTCACCACTGCAGGCTTGACACACTTTTAAAGTTGTATTTCCTACAGTTCTGTTGTTTTCCCCAGGTCTTGCTACATAATTTGCAGGGCAAATTATGTGCATGTAAAAACGCAGGGTCTCTAGTTCAATAATTATTAAGAATTTCCTGACATGGTGACAGCAGAGCATAAAACCAAAGGCAGAGCCCATCCAAGCCTGGGGCCCTGTGAGACTGAATGCATCACACACACATGAAGCCAGTCTTGACCTTGATTCTTGTTTTGTTTTTGTTTTAAGACAGGGTCTCACTCTGGTTGCCCAGGCTGGAGTGCAGTGGTGAGGCTCACTATAGTCTTGACCTCCCAGGCTCAGGTGATTCTCCCACCTTAGCCTCCTGAGTAGCTGGGATTACAGGAGTGTGTCACTGCGCTCAGCTAATTTTTTTTTTTTTTTTTACTTTTTTTTTTTTTTAGACAGAGTCTCGCTCTGTCACCCAGGCTGGAGTGCAGTGGTGCAATCTCAGCTCACTGCAACCTCTACCCTTGGGGTTCAAGCAATTCTCCTGCCTCAGCCTCTGGAGTAGTTGGGGTTACAGGCGTGCACCACCACGCATGGCTAATTTTTTTGTATTTTTATTACAGAGGGGTTTCAGTACATTGGTCAGGCTGGTCTCAAACTCCTGACCTTAAATGATCCACCCGTCTTGGTCTCCCAAAGTGTTGTGATTACAGGCATGAGCCACCTCGCCTGGCCATTTTTAAATTTTTAGTGGAGATGGAATTTTGCTGTGTTGCCCAGTTGGTCTCAAACTCCTGGACTCAAGCAATCCACCCGCCTTGGCCTCCCAGAGTGCTGGGATATAGGTGTGGGCCACTGCACCCAGCCTGTCCTTGATTCTTATCAAGGAAAAGTTCTCCCTGGCCTTATGACTTCAGTTACCTTGGATCTATAGTTGACATTTCATGCTCAAGGTCCAAACTTGTTTTTCCAAACCCTTCCTTTTATAAATCTTATCAGCCTATACATTTGAATATGTAGGCTCAAACCTTTACTCCTTAATCTCTCCTACCCTCCTCCCTGCCTTCAAAACTTCTGATTCCCCATCCTAGATAATAACACCACCATCTACTAAGTGACGCATTTTGTACACCTCCTTGTTTCACTTTCACCACATGCTCTCCTCAAGTCCTGTCAATTCCACTTCTGTAATGTGGTCCAGGCACTGCTCTGGCCTAGCATCCATTCCATGGTCATTAATTTGGGCAAAGCCTCTGCTGAATCTTCACAACAGCCTCTAGTCTCCCTCTGTCCCACTTTAGGCCACACTGCCGCCAGAAGGATCTTTTTATAACACAGATCTCAGCACGTCATTCACCTGCTTCAAAGTCCTAGGATGACAGATGACCCCTTTCAGAGAATAACTCATCAAAATTATCTCTCTTTTGGACAGCTATTTAAAAAGAAGAGTCATACTCTCAGAGATCCTGTTATTCCACCTCTGGCAATCAAACCCAGTAATGTGAATTAAGGAAAAGGCTCATTGTACAATGATGGTTGATCTGGTTTGGATATTTGTCCCCTCCAAATCTCATGCTGAAACGTGATCGCCAGTGTTGGAAGTGGGGCCTGGGAGGTGTCTGGGTCATGGGCGCAGATTCCTCATGAATGGCTTGGTGGCCCCCCAACAATAATCTGTGAGTGCTCACTCTATTAGTTCATGCGAGATCTGGGTGTTTAAAAGAGCTGGCATCTCTCTCGCTCCCTCTCTTACCAGGTGACACGCCTGCTTCTCCTTTGCTTTCCGCCATGATTGTAAGCTTCCTGAGGCCTCACCAGAAGCAGATGCTGGCACTATCCTTCTTGTACAGCCTGCAGAACTGAGAGCCAAATAAACTTCTTTTCTTTATTAATTACTCAGCCTCAGATATTCCTTTATAGCAAACAAAACAGACTAATACAAAGTTCATAACAGCAAATAGTGAAGAATTTTGAACAGCAGCAGCTAACTCATATTGAGCGCTTGGTATACAGCAAGCATGTGCTAAACATATTTCATAGCATTTAATTCTCGAAACAACTCTGTAAACATGTAGGACTGGGAGGCTAGCAATGATTAAGTGCCTTACCCAAGGTCCCACTATAAGTGACCTCACATTCTCTAACCCAGGTCTGTCTGACACCCAAGTTCATACCTTTACCTACTACAGTTTTACCTACTACAGGTAATGACTAAATAAGTTACTAGTCACGTACTTGTGGAAAGTTTATGTTAAAAATTAGTTACAGAACTGGACATGGTGTCTCACGTTGTAATTCCACCACTTTAGGAGGTAGAGGCAAGAGGATCGCTTAAGCCCAGGAGTATGAGACCAGCCTGGGCAATATAGCGAGACACTGTCTCTACAAAAAATAAACAATTGGCTGGGCATGGTGGCATGTAGTCCCAGCTACCCAGGAAGCTGAGGAGGGAGGATCACTTGAACCCGGAAGGTTGAGGCTGCAGTGAGCCATGATTGTGCCACTGTACTCCAGCCTGGGCGACAGAGCAAGACCGTCTCAAAAAAAAAAAAAAAAAAAAAAAAAAAGTTATAAATACTACTTCACAACATGCTTACATTTACTATTATGTGAATAAGTGGAATACAAAATGCAGGATAATTGTTTTAAATATAGAAAAAACTGAACATAGGTATGCTAAAATGTTAACAAATAGTAAAGTGATAGGATTAGAAATACTTCTTTTTTCTACTGTTGTGCATTTTCCAAATTCTAGTGAATGCATTAAACCTTCATGGACTCCCTCTTACCTACAGGATAAAAATCAGTTACTTCAGCACTGCCCCTAGGACCACCCGAGTCCACACCATCTGCCCTTCAGCTTCTCCCCTATCCTGTCAGTCCTCCAGGCCTCGTGGTCTCCCCATTGCCAGGAAAGCCTTTTTCCCTCTTCCCCACCTGCCGAGTTCCTACTCATCCCTTAGGACCCAGCTTCATCCTGGATACCCTTCTGGATACCCATCCAGCCCTTCTGGATACCCTAGAGGAGCAAGCTTGCCTTACTCCGGGGACCCAGCAACCCGCTGTCCAGGAGCCTGCAGGTGACCCCACGGCGCCCCGCCCGCGTGACGCAGCCCACGTGGTCACGGCCCGGCCCCGCCCCGCGCTCGCGCAATCCCCTTCTCAGGCTGCGTTAGCTTTTCAGGCTGCGCGGGTGGCTGTTCGGCCACCTTCCTAGGCAGGTGTATCCGCGACTCGCGGAGCCTTCGTCACCTTTTACTTCACGGCAGCGGCGCCCCGCCCACACCTCGACGCTTCGGACACCCAAAGAGTCGGAGGGTGGGAAAGTGCGTACCTTCTGGATCCGCTTTAGCGCCATCCTACCCCGCTGCCGGGGACCTGGGCGGCCCGGCCAGGGCTGCCTGAGGCGGCCCGCTGCCGGGTCAGCCGCCACCGAGCTGCACGCCGGGAGCCGCCGCCTGCGCTTGCGCGCGCGGGGCACTGTGGGGCCGTCGTCGCCGCGTGCCGAGCGTCCTGGCGCGGCCGAGGGGAAGCCGCGGGGCTGCCCCGGTTACGCTGGCCACCCGCACCTGGTCCTGTGACTTCGACCACTGGTCAGCAAGGCCCCGGAGAGGCCAGCGAAGAGGAGGGGCTCGTTGGCTTTACCAGACGCGCGGAGCACCCTCAAGGTGCCATACGCTCGCTTGCTCCCTGTTCCTACATCCTGGGCGTCTTCTCAGGCTGTCATATAATTCCTGAGAATAGTGGTTCTTAACTCTGTAAGTATACATACCCTTGTACGCCTTATGGCTGGATGCGTTACAGCCATTTCCATGTAGATGTCTGTGCATACGTGCACACGCACAACTCTCCGCAGTTTTGGAGATCTCCGTGTTCAGTCGTACCTCACGTGATCTTGCACTGCCAATGTTGAGAACCAATGCCTTAGACTATGCATCTCCCAAACTTAATTAGCTGACTCCTTCCTATTTTCCTAAGACTTGGCAGGCGTCTAGGTCAGAGTTGTTTAAACTGAGGGTTATGAACTATTTAGTGTGTCACGAAATCAATTTAATAGGTTGCAACCAACATTTGAAAAAAAAAAAAAAGCCAGACGAGGTGGCTCACGCCTACAATCCCAGCACTTTGGGAGGCTGAGGCAGGCGGATCACTTGAGGTCAGGAGTTCGAAACCAGCCTGGCCAACATGGTGAAACCCCGTCTGTACTAAAAATACAGAAATTAGCTGGGCATAGTAACGTATGCCTGTAATCCCAGCTACTTGAGAGGCTACTTGAGAATCACTTGAACCCAGGAGGCAGAGGTTGCAGTGAGCAGAGATCGCGCCACTGCACTCCAGCCTGGGCAACAGAGCGAGACTGTGTCTCAAAAATAATAAAAAATAAAAATAAAAAGAATAAAATGTCAGTGCCTTTCACACAGTAAAGGTAAGAATTGTGGAAGTTTTGTTGCTGTGTATATGTAGATGATATTTAATCTTCAGACTGAGACATGTTTGAGTATGAAAGTGGCTGTTAATATAATTACTCTGGGACCAAAGCCATAATTTAGGATTGTCTCCAGCCAGCCAGGACACATGGTCACCTCTATGTTTGTACTCAGTCAGGAAACAAAATGTATTATAGACATTTCAATGGTTGCCCAGCTTTGTCCCTGGCTTTCATGCTCCTTTTCCCCCAACTGTCCTCCACACAACTTCATAAACTGTCTGAAATATAAAGCTTACCAGACTGCATCCTTACCCAGAACTCTTCAAGGAAGCCCAGTGGCCTATAGCATCACATTCACTGTCATTCAGGGGCCTTCAAAATCCAGGATCTTCAGCCAGGCACAGTCACTCATGCCTGTAATCCCAGCACTTTGGGAGATTGAGGTGGGTGGATCCCTTAGCCCAGGAGTTCTAGACCATCCCTGGGCAACATGGTGAAACCCCATCTCTACAAAAAATACAAAACTTAGCTGGGCATGGTGGTGTGCACCTGTAGTCCCAGCTACTTGGGAGGCTGAGGTGGGAGGATCACTTGAGCCCGGGAGATCAAGGCTGCAGTGAGTTGTGATGGCACCACTGCACTCCAGGCTGGGAGACAGAGCAAGACCCAGTCTCAAAAAAACAAAAACTCAAAACAAAATCAAGTATCCTCCAGCTTTACCTTCTCCTTCCTACCTCCAGCCCACCTGACTATCAAGTGTTTCCATCACCACAGCATCTACATTCCTTGACTAGAGCATTCACCTTCCAAAGCCAGCTCAAGCATCACCCATTGAACGGCCCAGGTCAAGCGTTTCCCCTTGGTGTCAAACATTTACAACAGAAATTTTTGTTAGTCCATGGGCCATCCATCCTCCTACATTATTGACATGGCCTTCCCTCCCCATAAAACAAGTGATTCTAGATTTTATAAATGTTTATATATTTATGTAAGAACATATAAATGATTATTTATGTGCTAAGAATATATATGGTGGTTTTGAAGTGTCAAATCTCAAAAAGTATTTTTGGATGGTAGGTTTACTAATGTGTTAATTTCTAAAATTTCTACAGAGAATTTGCATCATTTGTATAATTCAGAAAAAAAACATAGGATAGAAAATGAAAAATTCTGTTTCTACTCCCTGTTGATAGTTTAGTGCATGGTTTTCTAAACTTTTTAGTATGCTTATATGTAATGTTTCATTTTCAACATTGAAATAATTTTAGATGTACAGAAATGTTGCAAGAATAATACACAATTGGTCAGGTGCAGTGGCTTATGCCTGTAATCACAGCACGTTGGGAGGTCGAGGCGGGTGAATTGCTTGAGGCCAGGAGTTCAAGCTTAGCCTGGCCAACATGGTGAGACCCCATCTCTACAAAAAATACAAAATTTAGCCAGGTGTGGTGGCATGCACCTGTAGTCCCAGCTACTTGGGAGGCTCAGGCACAAGAATTGTTTAAACCCAGGAGGCAGAGGTTGCAGTGAGCTGAGATTGCACCACTGCACTTCAACCTGGGCAATGGTGAGACTGTGTCTCAAGAAAAAAAAAATAATAATAATACACAGAAGATTTTTAAATGGATAATTTTGACTACATGAAAGTTTAAAACTTTTGTCAAACAACACCAACTAGAAACCAAAAAGACAGCACACAGAATGCGAGACAATGTTTGAAATAATAATATCTCACTACAGTCTAAGATCCAGAATATATTAAGAATATTTAGAACTCAATAAAAAAGACTAATAACCCAATTAAAAACTGGGCAAAAGATGTGAATAGAGATTTCTTCAAAGAAGATACTCAACTGGGCAATAAGCACATTTTAAAAAATCAGGCTGGGCGTGGTGGCTGAGGCCTGTAATCTCAACACTTTGGGAAGCTGAGGTTGAAGGATTGTTTGAGGCCAGGAGTTTGAGACCAGATTGGGCAACATAGCAAACCCCTGACTACAGAAAAATTTAAAAGTTAGCCAAATGTGGTGGTGTGCATCTGAGGGCCCAGCTACTCAGGAGGTTGAGGTGTGATTATTGCTTGATTCCAGGAATTTGAGGCTGCAGGGAGCTATGATTGAGCCACTGTACGTCAGCCCAGGAGACAGAGCAAGACCCTGTCTCTTTAAAAACAAACAAAAGGCTGGGCACAGTGGCTCACGCCTGTAATCCCAGCACTTTGGGAGGCTGAGGAAGGCGGATCATGAGGTCAGGAGTTTGAGACCAACCTGGCCAATATGGTGAAACCCCATCTCTACTAAAAATACAAAAATCAGCTAGGCATGGTGGTGCATGCCTGTAATCTCAGCTACTTGGGAGGCTGAAGCAGAAGAATCGCTTGAACCTGGGAGACAGAGGTTGCAATGAGCCGAGAGTGTGCCACTGCACTTCAGTGACCTGGGCAACAGAGCGAGACTCCTTCTTAAAAAAAAAAAAAAAAAAAAAAAAAAGAGGTCTGGTGTGTTGGCTTACATCTATAATCCCAGCAGTTTGGGTGACTGTCTGTGGTGGGAGGATCACCTGACCCAGGAGTTCAGGACCAGCTTGGGCAACATGGCAAGACCCCATCTCTACAAGAAAATTTTTTTTTTCTTCACCAAAAGCAGATACTTGAAAAAATTTTAAGAATTAGTAGAGCACAGTGGCGCATGCCTGTAGTCCCAGCTATGATTGCTTGGGCCTAGGAGGTTGAGGTTGCTGTGAGCCCCATTCATGCTACAGCATTCCAGCCTGGGAAACAGAGCAAGACCCTGTCTCAAGAAAATAATAATCATTAGACATAAGGGAAGTATAAATCAAAGCCATAATGAGATAACACTTCACACCCTCTAGGATGGCTATAATTAAAGGGACAGACAACAAGTGTTGACAAAGATGTGGAGAAGTTGGAACCCTCATACATTCTGGTGGACTATAAAATGGTACAGTCAAGGCCGGGCGCGGTGGCTCAAGCCTGTAATCCCAGCACTTTGGGAGGCCGAGACGGGTGGATCACGAGGTCAGGAGATCGAGACCATCCTGGCTAACACGGTGAAACCCCGTCTCTACTAAAAAATACAAAAAACTAGCCGGGCGAGGTGGCGGGCGCCTGTAGTCCCAGCTACTCGGGAGGCTGAGGCAGGAGAATGGCGTGAACCCGCGAGGCGGAGCTTGCAGTGAGCCGAGATCTGGTCACTGCACTCCAGCCCGGGCGACAGAGCAAGACTCCGTCTCAAAAAAAAAAAAAAAAATAAAATAAAATAAAATAAAATGGTACAGTCATTTTTGGAAAACAGTTTAGCAGTTCCTCAGAAAGTTAAGTGATGCCAAGTATGGTGGCTCATGCCTGTAATCCCAGTACTTTGGGAGGCCAAGGCAGGTGGAGCACCTGAGGTCAGGAGTTCGAGACCAGCCTGGCCAACATGGTGAAACCCTGTCTCTACTAAAAATACAAAAATTATCCAAGTGATGGTGCATCCCTGTAATCCCAAGTATTCGGGAGGCTGAGGCAGAATCTCTTGAACCCAGGAGGTGGAGGTTGCAGGGAGCCGAGATCGCGCCACTGCACTCCAGCCTGGGTGAGAGAGTGAGACCACCTCTCAAAATACAAACAAACAAACAAACAAACAAAAATGGAAATTAGCTGGGCATGGTGGCCTGCACCTATAATCCCAGCTACTTGGGAAGCTAAGGCAGGAGAATAACTTGAACCTGGGAGGTGGAGGTTGCAGTGAACCGAGATCGTGCCACTGCATTCCAACCTGGGCGACAGAGTGAGACTCTATCTCAAAAAAAAAAAAAAGAAAAAGAAAAAGAAAACCTTGTTGTGCTTTTATTTCAATGCTCAATTATTTACAGAAAAACAGATAATACCCTTTTGAATTTAGTGTTCACACACAGAATTTCTTTTGCAAGAAACCTTCCATAACTTGTTTTAAACCTTTAGCTTTATCTTATCTAACTGAAAATAATCCTTTAGCCCTAGACAAAAATTTCCATGTCTATTCCTTCTTAGAACATTTTACTGAGATTATATGATTAATGATTATTTGCTAAGATTAAGAGCCTTACTAAGTCCCTTACCAAAGTCCTGGGCCTTGCCAAGTTGTAAAGTAGGCAAGTTGAACAGTTCTCAAAGTCAAAAGAAGCAGTTTATAACTGTAAAACATTTAGCAAACCTAATATCTGTCCCGTATAATTTAGACCACCTGTCTACATTTTAACAACAACATTTGCATTTTACCAGTAATCTTTAAGACTGTTTTTATTTCTCAAGGATTAAAGTCACACGAACTAAAAGGCATTACAGCTTTTATTTTCCCTTCAAAATATTTGATCGAAGCACTTATTTTCCTTTAGGCCAATTAATTAGATCTCTCTCTCTTTTTTTTGTTTTTTTGTTTTTTTGTTTTTTTGTTTTTTTGTTTTTTTGAGACGGAGTCTCACTCTTGTCGCCCAGGCTGGAGTGCAGTGGTGCGATCTCGGCTCACTGCAAGCTCCATCTCCTGGGTCCACACCATTCTCCTGTCTCAGCCTCCCAAGTAGCTGGGATTACAGGCACCTGCCACCATGCCTGGCTAATTTTTTGTATATTTAGTAGAGATGGGGTTTCACTGTATTAGCC